TCATATGCATTCCCTTATTCTCTTCTTTTAAGATGTTAAAAAAGTGCCTTTTCTTTAAAATATGGCCATATAATTGAACTCACCTTTAAAGAATTGTATCGGTTCAACAGTTCAGGTGCTACGATAATTTAGATTTTACTCTTTTTTAGTATTTCTTGTATGTGTTAAACAGAACTTGTACTATTTACAAGATATAAAATGTAAAAAAAATAAGTATAGTCATATATTAGTTGTTTTAAATATAAACAATATTCTGTTTGAATTTCTGAAATGAGGAATTTACATTATTCACATAGAGACTAATGTCCTCATCTTTGTTGTTATTATCATGTGGATGCTTTCTTTCTGAATTAATGGGTAAGGAATTATTGTTATTTAAATATAAACTAATGTCCTCATCTCTGTTGTTATTATAACCTAATTGTCTTCTCTCCGAATTTCTGGGATGAGAAGTTATAATTATTTACAATATTTACATTTGTTCTAATGTCTTCATCTTTGTTGTTATTATCACCTGATTGCCTTCTGAATTACTGTTATTATCACAACATATTGACCATTGTACTTTCTAGCCTTTTTCAGGTATCTGGCATTCTGGGTAATATTTAGTGAATTTCAAACTAAACTGTTCATAATTCCCAGAAAGTTATCTGAAAATGAAAAGAGCACAATGCCTGAAATGTTCATTGTGATAATAACAACAAAAATGAGGACATTAGTCTGAATATAAATAATAAAAAAAATTTTTATTTTGTTTTTTCAATGAAGTCAGGGTCATCATGGGTATGATGATAAACTACATCTGGTACAAGACTTGTGATCAGGAGTTTTTGTTGGTGTGTGGAACTACCTCTTAACTGCTGTTGTTCCCAGGTCCACTCTGACCCAGGGTGGTAGCACCTGTTAGAGTCCCAGCTATGGACAAATATTTAACCCCACCCAAACTGTGGACAAAACACTATGAAAGGGTAGAAATACATTTTTATAGTGAAGGTACCAGCAATACATTTTCATAGTAAAAAATATTACTAGTAATACATTTTTGTAAGGAAAAAAAATATTACCAGCAATATATTTTTGTAAAAGAAATTACTAATGCTCCCAAGATAATTAAATTTCAGCATTAAATGACTCATAAGAAATTGATATGCCATTAAATAAACAAAACAAACAATGAAGTTAGGTGGCATACAAAATCTCTTGTGTTCTATGTCAATAGACTTGATCATCCAATGATGGAAACTACAATTAGAATACCCTGATACATGATTCAATAACTCAAGATTAAACATACATGTAATAGTGCTGGATTACAGTAAATGATCCAATATGCAAATCAATATGCATAAAGGTTCCAGAATAAAGAATGAGATTCAGCAGTACTTAAACCTCCTGTAGTGGAAGCGAAATGCAAATGGAGCAGCCAATCGCTATTGATAATGGTACCTAGCTCCGTCGGGCAAAGAGACAATGTTTAGTGTGCTAACTCTGTAGAAAGACAACACACAGCTGCCCTGCCAGTACAGAGCCAGTGTGAATCACGGAACATCTGATTATAAAGAAGAAAGTGTTTACCATCTTTCCCATGAGATGGTCAGGACGGTGAACTGATCAGTGTTAGCTATGCAAATGATTTTTTTGCTAGCCAACTATTAAAGTTTTAGGCTCCATAAAAGCAGCGACATTTTCTGGGAAGAGAGAGCTTGGCAGTACACCACATTGACTGCACAATGGGATTGCCATGTCTTACCAAAGATTTTTATTTGTGTTACTCAGCATAGTTTCAAATTTGTTCATACTTGTATTTCTAGTGTCTTGGCTGCATTCATCCTGGATGTGTGGTGTTCCCATGTGGAAGTCTTGTCCATGTCCTGATCATTTTGATCCCGGTGATGTTGGGTTTTCTGTCCCTCTTCAGTGGCAGACACTCAACCAATCAGAAGAAAATCTCTTCACCTCCACCCCCATTACCATCCTATAGCACATAATGATGCAATATAATAAGATTTGTAGGTGGGTTAAAGGTACAAGTCAGGTGCCATCATGTTTCATACTTGTTCAATGAAGGACAGGTCTGGCAATTGTGCTGGTCTGGGGATTTGTCAAACATCTTGCAGAGTATTTTGTGTAGAATGGGCACCATGTAAGCAGACATTATTCTGTTAGATCAACACATCCACTTCCTGCTGTGGGAATGGCAGCCAAATTAGTTGAATAATGTTCTGAATGTACAATATTATTTCCACAAATACTAAAGGTGAATGAGAGTTGTAACTGTAATGGCAGCCTCACTGTTAATAAGAAAAAAGTGAAAAAAAAAAAACAAATGGAGGTAAGATGTAGTTGAGATAAATAAAAGAGGTTTTATTTCCTCATGATTTACAAGATTCGATCATTTGCTCGTTCTGGGGTATTGTACATCAGTTGTTAGAGTTTGAAGCATAACGTAAGGTGGTAGTCAAGATAGACATGTAGGGAAAATCAATACGCATATGCAGACAAGTGAGATAGATGCATGGGAAGAATATCAACATGAATAATTGCATTGTTGTAGTTGATAGTTAATCTCTGCTACTTCCGTTGGTTGTGTCAATGGCCGAAGGCATCAGTGTTGTTGGAAGTGCTGCCGTGTTACTGCTGATATCCTGGTTAAACTCACCTGGTGGAATCTGCTCCATGGATGAAATCGGTGTTGACATTATAGTCAGTCAGTGGCTCAGAAATGGCTGCTGTGAAAATTGCGTGGGCTTTTATTGATTGGTCAAAAAAGATGTTTTATGACACTAGTATTTTTGGATGACACCAGAAATGGGTACGGAGAGTCAGATAAAATTATTTGTTTTTAGCAGATGAGCTATGGATGTCAACGAGAGTACTTTCATTTGAGTTAAAGAATTTGAGATCCGACAGGGTATGACATAATTTCTGGCACTCTCCAACATGATACCAGAGGTTGGAGCTGTGCGTTACAGGTTAATCCACTCTAGAAGATGTTGCCCTCCGATCTCACATGCAAATGAGCATCACTTTCTCTTGCACCCAGGTGACCCTCTCACAACACCAATGGAAATGTGCCAAGATCTTGTGGCCAAGTGAAAATCTAATGAGAGGCATGTGCACCTGTATGCATCACATCCAACATGAACACCAATTTTCCAAAATGACCATCTAGCCTCACAATCCAACCGCCATCTTGAATGGCTTTCTCAACTAAAGGAACATGTGTGCCTATCTGTAGTTTGATACAGGTTTTCACTGAACTCTTTCAGCACAGTGAACCTTATTGCATCATGTGTTTCAGTCACAGTGCATAGTTATGAGTGCTACTAGGTCACAAGATGGTTGAAAACTTTCAAAACTTTAACAGATTATATACTACTCACTTCCATGTATATGTCATACCTGGGTCAAAATCAACCTTCAGGGCAATGCAATATTATTTTTTGTCAGTATATTTGAAAGTATTGTACTTTAAATAAAATTAAATTTTCCCTAAGTCCTACTTCTTCTATTAGTAGCTGATATTTTTAATATCATTTGAATGTTTTATTTCTGTCTGAATTTCTAGGATAAGGAAATATCATTATTTAAACTATATTCTTTCAGATGTCAGAATCAGTGCATATGCTAGACTATGAGGATCTCTTTAGTAGGCTTAGCATAGAAATAAATACAATATGGGAGGCACTAATGAAGAAAGAACGACAAATGATAGCAAGTTTTCAACCACAGCATCAGCAAATGAACAAGAATAACTACATGATATCCTTATACTGTTCTTGTTTAAATAAAAGGTTCAGTTCAAAATTCCCTGTAGGTTACCAAGATCAATATACTGAGGAAGTTCAGAGGGCACAACAGCTGAAATGTTGTGCAACAACAATAAAGAGGGCAATAATTTGAGGACAACAGTTTGAGTGTAAATATTGAATGTTAAATATTTAGATATATTCATATTCAAAAAACATATAAACATTTACTTATACTTCAATGGTAAAATGATGTAAATGAGTCAATCCTGTCTTCTCATCATATCTTGAGTCCCATAACCCATTAGAATTGTAAGAGCACATGTACAGCAACAATTGTGTGTCTAAGGAAAGATAGCCTGGCAGAGCCCAGCCCTCTTCAAACTGACTTTATATTATTTTTCTTCTGAGACTTGATGCCACCTCAAGGCAAGAGAGCCCAGTCTACCCTGCTATTTAATCCACTGCTAAAGGAAGAAAGATTCATGCTTTTTTCAAGGATACACAAACAAATTCAATGAAATAGAAAACAGAATCAACTGAAATTTGAACTCATTATGTCTTATATGCTTCATTATATTTTAGGGGCTAAAATTTTGTTTACAAAAATATTTAAGTGAACTGCAGAAAAATAGTTTAAAGTGGTTAGAGCTTAGTTACTGAGTGACTAATACACTACTGTCACTGTACCTGCTAACCTTTTAATATTGAAATAAAACAAAGTCAAAAACTATGTTTAATATCAAGTTTGTACTTTTGTAAATTTTAATTCTTTTTAAGCTTTTTTTTTCTCTCAAATCATTGGTGCATTTGTGTATGCAATTTTAATTATACTTTCTTTGTTATCATTGTAAATATTATAAAAATGGTAAAATGAATTTAAAAAATAGAAGGCTAAACTTATAAATGCCAGATCTGGTGTCCACAATTTTCTGACAAAGAGTGAGTGGTTATAATTGCTCTGTGTTATTGAGCAGGAGAAAAATGATTAGAGACAATCATCCACTATTAGAAATGATCCACTTGTTACCATGACAATGGCATGTTGTCCATACAGTGGACTTCTACTAAAAACAAACCAACAATTAAACTCTGTTCTGGATATATTGAGCTGAAGAGCATTAAAGAATGAATCATACAAAGCAAAAACAAAAAACAAAACAAACAAAAAACACAAAGAGAGAATAAAAAAAAAAAGAAAAGGTCAATTTTGATTCACTTTATTTAAAATAATATTCTGAATATTCATACCTTGCTCTGAAGATAGTTTTTATATTCATTATGTCTTTCTTCTTGGAGTTTTTTACGGTGATTTTCATACTGGCCAAGTTTCCAAATACTTGGACTTTCATCTGATGTGAATAACAGCTATAAATAAACAAGAACAAATTTGAAAATAGTTCTAACATCATAAAAAATGACTAGGAGCTGTCTAAACATCATTATTTTTTTTCATTACTCTCTAAAAACAGTATGTTTTATAAAGTGCGACAATCAAGAAACTTACTGTGTATCTTGTTTGATATTTGTAAACATACCCAATATATCATTACTTTATTAAATGGTGGTAAACAAAAAATTTGGAAACTTTTTTTTAAAATTAGTAAACAAGAAATATCAAAAACATTAACAGTACTTTATTGCAAATTCTTCTGCCAGGTTATTTCAGAATGTAGGCAATCATGGCTCTCCACTATTTCCTGTCCTTTGGTGCTCTTAACAAATTTTGTCTTTTTGTTATCTTTCCTAAACCTTATTCTGTCATCCATTTACTCAAGATTGTTTTCTTCTGTCTCTCATGCCATTTGTGCTTTTTGAATACAAATTTTCCAAACTCTTTCCTCATCTTTCTTCCTGATGTTAAATATAAGTGTCCTTTTTGTCTCCATTTTCTCTAAAACTTCATTGTTGCTCACATGTTCTGTCCATGGTATACTCAGTATGCTTCTGTAGAACCACATTTCTGTTGCTTCAAGTCTTTTCTTCATCCATGAGGAGATTGTCCAGCATTCACAGCCATATTGGAAGACTGATATTATGTAACAGTCCAGTACTCTTTCTTTGTTTCTAACAAAATTTTCCTATTTCTTAATACTTTGCTTAGCTTTTGGAAGGCAACTTTCACTATCCCAATACACCTTTGTATTTCAGTGGTGCACTTTCTTTCCTCTGTTAAAACACTTCCCAGATATTTAAATTGTTTTACTTGTTTGATTTTGTTATCTCCAATTTGTAAATTTGCATTTTGGGCTGTCCCTTTTGCTAACAACCATACATTTTCTCTTCTTGCAACTGATGTTTAGTACTTTCTTCTCACTTTCCTTCACGACCTTCTGTAAGAGTTCTTGAAATTTCCTTTCTGTATCTGTTATCAACACTGTGTCTTATGTTCTTAAGATTGTGGTCACTAATAATGAATCCTGATAGTATTTCTAGTTCTCTCAGAATTGACTCACTGTATAAATTAAATAAGTTTGGTTAGAAGACACATCCTTGTCTTACACCCCTTTCTATTTTTTTATATTTACTGAATTCATTTTCTATCCATATGCAGGTAGTTTTCTGTCAGGATAGGTTCTGGATTATTCTAATATCCTTCCCAAATATTGATTGATTGATTGATTCATTTCTATGGCTTATCAACCCTTTACATAAACCAGAAAATATTTTTAGATTGCAAGAATAAAGTTTTGAGATAATAATTGTTTAGTGATACAAGTCTTACTAATTAGGGGGGGGGATTCAGATCTTTCCCAAAGGTATTGGAACTCAGCTCTCCAATCAACAATTCCAAGCCATTAGCTATTACACCACCCACTCATCCAAGCTTACGACACCTGGTATTCTGAAACCATCACCCATCTAGGTACTGACCATGCTTGGCATTGCTTAAATTTGGTGATTGTACCAAATATGTCAAGGTTACCAAGCAGTTCCAACAGTTCTTTGTGATGTACTTTATGCAGATCTAATTTATTAATATATAGCAATGAGTTCAGATAGTGTAATGGATGTTGGTGCAAAGTGTGTTCAAATTCTGGTCTAATTTGTTGCATTCACTTTCATGCAAATGCTCTTGAGGAAGGGCATGAGCCAATCTATTCTCCCTCAGCTATAGGTTTAACAGTAGAGTAGACAGCATTCTCTAATCTTAGGTGTCAAATAGAATAAACAATCAGAATTCCAAATAATGGCAGAGGCAAGAAAAAAGCATTCCATTACCTTTCCTAAGAATTCAAGGTAAATCAAAGATAAATGAAAATCTGTGTTGAGCCATACATGCCTACTTCCTGAAAGGATATGGCATTAAAAAACAAAAAATTCAAAAGTTAAATAAAATAGGCTTGAATACATAAAATAAAATTTCAAATGAACAGAAAATTTTCAAATAAGTCATTTAATCATCAAGAATTAAGTTAGATGTGAAGAAAGATCAGAGACAAGGTAGTTAAATATTTTACAATATATTTTTAAAAAATCAATGTCAATCTCAATGACTAAGCCTTAGGAGTGTTCTCATGTTCATAAACTGATATGACATTTGCTGAGATAAATTTGAGATATATCTGCCAGATATATTCAAGCTACTTTCTAAATATGTTATTTAGTTTTTATCTGAGACAGCAACAATAGCTAGCACAATAAAGTCAATTTGAAGTCTCTTAGTTATTAAATATATAATTTCAAGTTTATGATAAAATAATGATATCCCAAAAATGCATGGGTCATAAAACAGAATGTAGTAGTTTTTATGTAACCAAAATTGATTACAATAAATGTCAATAATATTAATGAAGGAACCTTTTTCATGACTTATTTTGTTGTTAAAATTTTTGCTCTGTATATTTTCTTGTTGCTTGTTTCAATGTTTTTTTTTTTTAGTAAAACATTTAAAATAACTTCTATAGCAAATATTACCAACCTTTTTTGTGTCATTGCCCACTTTCACTTGGAATAATTTTCCATTGTCTATTTATGGTAAATATTCAAAAGCATATCAAAATTGTTTGGCAAAAGTTTGTTCTTTTTTTCTATGTGCCATATCCCTTCAAAACATAGGTGATCATGGCTCTCTACAATATCCTGGTCATTGTAGCTCTAAGTTATTAGTTCATAAACTGACTTTATGAAGTAATAAAAAAAAATACCAAAGGGAGGTAACAAATAACACTGACTTATGCAGCAACTGCTGCTACAGTATTAAAGAACAAGCAATACCAAACTTAACCATTGAAAAGTATATATGTAATTTAGTTTTATGCTTAGGCTTAGTGTTGTCAAAAAATTAAATGATTTTTGTCCATAATTATAAAATTAAAAAGAATATAGACTGCCAGCAACTAATAAAAATTCAGTGAATATATTCTTGTTATTTTCAGTCTTCCATTATCTGATTAATATATGTTATTTCATCTGAAGAATTATTTGAATGTTAATGATCCTTCCCAAAACTATAGAAAATACCAAAATATATCTTTTATATCTTGTCAAGAAATGTGACCCAGTTATTCCTATTTAGTCTCCTGTTTTTTTTTCCTATAGATGTTCTTTGCATATTTTCTTTGAATATTTTTGGGTGTAGCATAGGTTGAAATACTTTTTTAAATACTCAAAATCCTATATTGTCCACCATTTTCTCTTCAGTTGCTCATCACCCACCTAACAATTAATATCAGCCATGTTGAGAAACCCTGTTCTATAGTAATCATTCTTTTTTAACAACTGTAACCATGTCCCTTATTCCCTATAAAACAATCTTTCAATTTTCTGCCTTTCATAATAATGTTAAATAAATAAGTAAAATATCAATTGATAGCTAAAAGTGCAAAAAATGCAAATGGCTGAAGTATGGAAAAAGTGCTTAGTTTTACAAACAAAGATATTTAATTTCTGGGAAAACACAACCAATAATCTGTGTCTGATTCAAATACATAACAAATAACGAACCTATAGTGAAGACATTTTCAAAAACTCTATAATTTATCAATCAATGTTCCTATGATTCACCCCCTAATGGAATTTCTCAAGATGACCTTGAAGCCATCACTGTTTCATATAAATATGCAAGAGTTTCCTATCAAAAATTCCAATCCTGGGTATAATGATAAACTACATCCGCATCCTGGGTAAGACAATAAACTCCATCCAACAGCAAGGCCTCTGATCAGGAGGCTTTGAGGAGCATGGAACCACCTCTTAATTACTGGTGTTCCCAGGTCCACCCTGACCCGGAGTGGTAGCACCTGTTAGGGTCCCATCTATGGGTAAATAGTTAATGCCCAAACTGGGGTCAGAACACTATGAAAGTGTAAAAATAGGTTCTAATATCAGCAATATGTTTTTGTAAAAAAAAAAAAAAAAATTACCAGCAATAAAAATCTTATCGGCATTAAATAACCCATTGAGGTGTTGATATGCCGTAAAACAAAACAAACCTATGAAAAATTCAATATAATTGATGATTAATAATAAGATAAAAATATAAATAATATATAATAAATTGTAATAATAAAATATAAGATAAAAATACAAATAATATATAATAATAATAATAAAATATAATATAATTAAACAAAAAATCAATTGATTAATCAAAACTTACTCCTAAATTACTTCTTTCATTCACTAATTTGGATTTTTGTTCTCGTATAAATCTGTCAATGTCTGTTTCATTCATTGACGCAACCATATTTACAAGGACAAATTTCCTGAAAAGAAAATGGAAAAATTAATAATATAACAATATGAAATGTCTAATAAAATTTGAGTAAGGGTTCCAATGTAAAAAATTTTATAAGACAAAATAATCTGAAAATGAGATATACAATTCAACAAATCCAGAGTTTAATGATGAAAAAGAAAAAGCTTTTTAATGGAAATATTTGTTTCAACATAATCTACTTTCTTGTCAATGCACTTAACCCAACACTTCTCCATTATTCATATTGACTGTACGGTGAACATTTCAGATCAAAATTCAGTTAATAACTGCAATAACTTATTGTTCCACTTCTTCATGAAGAAATGTCAGTAAATCTCAAGAAAAGCTTGTATCAAAAAATCAAATCTATAAAGAAATGCATTATTGTGACACTATGTGACACTGGTAAAGGAAAAGGGTTAATTTAGAATATAAACCGGAACAGACAAAAAGAGTTAAAAGTGAGGAATAACATGTAAACTAAAAGAAGGCAGATCTGGGGAGAATGACTTTATTGGCTTTGGGAAAAGACATTGTCATAGGTCAGGTGGAAGGTCTCAAAAGGGAAGTGAATTTTGAGATTAATTGATAATTTTGAGGACAAATGCAGAATCAAGAGACTGGCTTATGCCTTTCTGTCAGTGAGTAGAAATGGCCTCACTGATTTTGGAAATGTAAACAAGTCAAGAAATAGGATTTTATCCTGTGTTTGAAAAAATTCAACCCAGACCTGGGATGTTCATGGGTACAGTTAAGTGAACAAGCTGATTGCATAAACAAGACCAATTGTTGAATATTAAAAAGATAATTAGAATTAATGACTACAACTTAAGACCACTTTTCTGCCCACACAGTTTGAAAGTCGGAGTTGTCAAAGAGATAGCGGAGATGGTGGGCTTAGATGAGATACCAAAAAAGACAGAGAAATTATCTGCACCCATTTGGTAATAATGGTGCGAGACATAGTAAACAGAAGGAATGAGTTATAGGGACAGGTCAATACCTGCAACCACTACCCATAGGAGGAGGAGGAGATCTCCCAGATTTGGCGAGATAATTAATACTACAAACTAGACAATAAAGAACCTTTGTTTAAATCAATACAGAAACCTGTGGAAACCCCAAATTTCCAAACACTGTCAGCTCCCACTCTGATTTTGAGTCAAAGTCAATATAAGTAGAGTGCTTGAGTGACCCATGCAGTTGCAGTTGGAGCCAGAGACAGTGAGAGTGGCAGACAAAGGAGCTGCTGAAACCCATATGACCTGCTGCCAAGAGAATTCCCAACTTTAAGTCCTGTTCCAAGAATTCACACCAATAAGCAAAGTGTCACTAAAGAGATTTTAATGGGAAGAGTTAATTTTTGTTATACCAAGTAGTACATAAACCAAATTGAAAATTAACCTGAAGACATTTTTTATTTTTATTTTGTCTGCAAAGCTATGATACTGACAATTAATCAATCTCTACCAGCTCTGTGATCAAGAAATACAACCTGGGCTGAGCAAGATGTGATCAGCAACCATTAACCCACAACAATATTGAATAGCATGGAATTGACCCTGCAATCAATTCATTGTTCTACAACCTTGAGGACCAAGACATTTTTTGTTATAGGCAGTGTGTGGCAAGGATCAGAACATATGGTCACAGCTGACTCAGAATCAACCACTGGATTAAGTGTTACATTATGAAAATGTGTTGCTAGCAACAGGGAGGTTCAGATTGAAAAGATCTTTAGTCCAATGTTGTAATTCCAAGGGTCAAAAATAAGTCTTGCTAGTGCAACTTCAGAAAATAACTGGGGCCATAAATCAAAAGGGTCAAAAATTCATATCACAACTCACAACTACCTCTTTGCCCACGAAGAGCTAAAAAAAACATCTTGTTGTCCAAAGTAGAGGAAGTGCAAACAATTACCATATTTTAAGGTCTACTAAAGTCAATCCAATTTTGATTCGGATTTTCTTTTTTGACAGATAGCACAAATATTTTCTGAGGTAAGACTTGGTTTTCTCCTTTGTTGCCACAATTAATGGTCAATCTGACAAATGCCGAGGGATTTCTTCAAAGAGTGTTTGTATCCCTTTTTGGGTCTCCTACTGTCAGTTTCCAGTAGAGAGTTCACCATACCGCACACTTTTGGGCAGTCATTGATTGTTTATCCTGAAGACATGTCCTGTATTTTCAACAGCATGACCTCAATGTAAATGACACCCACCTGTCCTAAGACCTCAACATTGGAGAAAATTACTCCAATGGCTGTTGAGGATGTCTCAGAAGTAGCACTGATAAAAGCAGGTGGTGACAATAGGTAACCCAAGACTCACAGCCATACTACCAAATAAAATTACTTCCATTAACCCTCTTTTTTTTTAATGCTATATCCCTCTAGGACATCAGTGATCATGGCTCTCCATAGATTCCTTATTTTTATTATATGTTAATTTCCACATGTTTTTGGGAAGGATACTGAAATCGTCTCCTGTTACCTTCTCCACAGTTTGGATTTCAGAGTTTTCTTTCTCTTAGACTGGTTGCCACCCATGGGTAATGAACCAAGTCTACATGTATAGTTTTGTTCAATTATATATTTTTTATAAATATATTGCATCAAGTGATATTTTTACAAGTTACATTGTTTTACATTTTTTTTATAACTGCAAATGAGTTGTACTTATAGTCCAATTCCAGTACTGTGGTCTGTACCAAAATCTGATGTCATGGGAACATGCAAAGAATTTACAGCAGCAGCTACTCACAGAAACAAAGTTGCTAGATAAGTGCTATATGATGATCTTCTATGTACCGTATCCCTTTAGGACATATGTGATCATGGTTCTCCACACATTCCTGTCCCCTGTGGGAATTTTTTCTTTTGACCCCCATCCATTCACACAAACACATCAGGTAACTAGCTTGCTGCCTTCCCCTGTCTGCCTTGATTTCAATATATCCCATAAGAGTTAAGTTTTCCAACCCCTCCTTTCTATGTATGCAAGGAATTTCAGCTGTCTTTTATTGATTTTGAGCTCTTTCTGTTGCCATTTTCCTTCAGACTTCCTAGTTGGTTAATTCCACTGTTCTCAACATCCTTCTGTAGAACTACATTTCTGCTACCTCCAGTTTTCTCCTCATCCATAGGGAGACCATCCAGCATTCACTGCCATATAAGAAGATGGATATCACATAATCATGCACTCTTTTCTTTGTTTCTAATGAAATTTTTCCATTTCTCACTACCTTGTTTAGCTTTTGGAATGCTTCTTTCGCTAGTTCAATGTTCAGTTCTCGATGTCGCATTTTCCATCCTCTGTTAAAACACTTCCAAGACATTTAAACTTCTGCACCTGCTTGATGTTGACATTTGTAACTTGCATCTTGAGCTTTTTCTCTTGCTAATGACCAGACTTTCTGTATTCTTGCAGTTGATGGTTAGTCCTTTTTTCTCACTTTCTTCTACCATCCTGTCTAGGAGGTCCTGTAGTTTTCTTTCTGAGTCAGCCATCAACACAGTGTCTATCCGTGCATATACTGTTAAAGATTAGGTCTACCAATAATAAATCATGGTCGGGTTTTCAGTTCTATAAGGAGTGTCATTGTGTAGAGGTTGAATAAATCTGGGGAAAAAACACCTCCTTATCTCACACATCTTTCTATTTTCGTGTAGCTACTCAACAATTCATTTTCTGTATATGCAGGCGGTTTGGTGATAAAGTCTTCAAAGTGCAATAACGTCAGTGCTTGATTAAAGAACTAAAATTTAGAAAAGATGTCAAAAAAGGGCAAAAATTAAAAAAAATATTTTTATTTTGTTTATTTATTCATAAGTTTTCCAACAATAACGAACAAATCAGTAAGTCAAGAACAGCTGCTGTAGTGCAATGAATTCAAAAAAGTTTTCATGTCATATACCTTTCAACAGGGACCAGAGTACTTGACTTGTACCCTAATTTTATTTTATTCTTTCATAAAAAAAAACAAAAAAAAACTTAGATATTGAAATGACTTACGTGAATACTGAATAATATTTTTAGCATTTTCGGTTGTCATTTTAAAAATTGTGCAATAAATTGACAAATTCATTCTACTGAAAAATGCATTTGATTTGTGTTGTAAGTAAAAAAAGTAATACATGAAGAATTGATAAGATTCTAACAAATTTTTTCAACATATACTCAAGTGAGATAAAAATAAAATACTAACTACTAACTAGATAAAAAAAAAAGCGGAAAATACCAATCAGTTGTGTTTCTAAAAGTGTAGAATTAAAAAAAAAGTAGCATACTTCACATTCACAACGAAGTAACAAAGATATTTTTATAAAATGCAGATTTGAAATGAAAAAAAAAAAAACTATTTTTAGTTTTTTTTTTAATAATTCAATCACAGAATAGACCTTGAATTCTCAGATTCAACTGGAATTGGAAAGCGATAGTTTGGATTCCTGAAAAGTGAAAAGTCAGTCTTACTCTTTTTAGTCTTCGGAAATACTTTTCTCAAAGATAAAAATACGTCTATTAATAATAATTATTTAAAACCACAGGCACAAGTTAATATTCGTTACGCTGTTTAACTAAATTACGCTTTTATTTTTCACACACTCAAGGAAAAAAAAAACTATTGCACTTGAAAACTTGACATTATTTTTTTTATCATTTACTTTTTTTAATGAAAGCATTTTTCTACTTTACTTCGGATTTTAAAAACTTATAAATTATAACAGCTTATCATTAATATAAAATACGTTTAAAAGCTTTTTCAGATATTAAAAATAGTAATTAATATAATTTTGATCTAATTTTCATATTTCAAAAAGTGAATTAAATTACAAATGTTTTGTTCGGTGATGGTTAAAAAAATAAAAACGGATCACCGTCATCAGCGAAAAAGATCAGAAAACTCAACAGAAATATTAAGACTGAATATTCGAGCTTTAATAAAATTAGAATGATCTTATTTAAAGGAAAAATGTTATTCTAAAAAACGTTGTAAAAATAATTAAACCGTTTTTATTTTAAGATTTTGCCATGTAAAGTCAGTCAGTGATAACAAAAAAAATCAATTTTCTAAGCGAAAATAATTTATAATATAACATGATTATTTACTTAAAAACTAGTCGTTCTTAATCAGAATAAATATATTTTACAGAAATTTATATATGAACTAAATTTTACAAATTATAATTTTAAAATTACCTGTTGTTGTCGTCAACGTTTTGTTGTTAGCGATGTGCAATACAGTGAGCATTTTCAGAGGAAAATAAACACAAGTTTCTGATTGGTCAAAATATAACATCAATGTTCACAACACGTTTTTATTTTAGTTATTTTAGTATAAACAATATAATTTATTTATTTAGTTTTAACAATAATTATATCTTTTGCATATATGTGCGTATCAGAACTTTTACTGGCGAAATTACCTTACTTTTTTTTTCAGCCATTCGCTGGTTGCTATTGGTAACGAAATAAACATTCCAGCATGGTTTGTTGTTTCAAATAAAAATAAGCTTTCCGATCTTATAATAATCGATATTTACATGCACTTCTAAAAAAATAAATAAACTAACAAACAATAAACAAAACATATTGTAAAGTAATCACTTAAGGTAAAAAATATCCATAATGGCTATTGTTCAATTTTGCGACTTCTTTTATTGATTATTTTCTTTATTTACGCAATTAGCTTTCAGGAGTGCATATTTTTTTAAAGTAGTAAGTACTTTTAAATTCCAACTTTATTTTAAATATTTTGTTAGTTATTAACAAAAAGTAACTCTACAAAATTATATATTAAATCCGTGTGTGTACATTTCGTGTTTTTAACTTGATTTTGTTTTTGTTTACAAATAAATTATTATTCCAAATTCCATTAATTAATTAATTCGTGATAGAATGTTTCTTTAACAAAGCAACTGTCAAACGCTTTGTTAAATATTGTCATGATTAGTCTTTTTACTTTTATACACTTGCTTACTATTCAAAGGTAATAATAGTCCTTTATTACTTACAAAGTAAATATTATCTTCGTAGGTATCCTCAATTTTCATGGCGGAAATTAGACACCTGAATAAATAAATAAAAAAAAATGAAATATCATAAAAATTTTAGTCGTTTTTTTTTTCCTACTAAAAGTAAAGCTGAAAGAATTTGAAAAAAATGGCTTTAGAGTCGGAAATATTTGAGTTTTGACAATATATTAAAAAGAAAAAAGTAAAAAGTACAAAAAGCAAAAATACGCGGCTGAAACTAGCTCTTTTGGAGCTCCAACCTTGTCAGGGGACTCTGCATGGCCGGTGCGGTGCGTACTAACAAGATTCTGATTATAAAATAAAAATATATGTGAACCAAGTTCTAAGTACAATGCGATATTTATTATGTTTTTATAAAGACCATTTGAAAAGAAACCTTTCTGTTTAAAAATTTATTAAAAAAATTATTAGCCTTCCTTCGCCAACTCGAATTAGGATTCGCTCCAATCGAAATCAAATAAATAAACATTTGTTTATTATTTGTTTATCATAGCTTTTGATTCTACCCGTTTATTCCGAAGTTTCAGAGAAATATTGCTAAGAAGACCATCTGGCGCTTCTCCGCAAACCAACTACAATTCAGGGCCAGTGCGTCTTACCAACGACCGGGTAGGGGGTCGTTTTGGGGAGGGGGCATCGTTGTGGTCTCTGTCATTTTTTTTTTCTCAGTGCGCCATTTTTTAATTATTTAAAAGAAAAACTGATGTTACATTTGTCGGAGTTACCTCCTCCTTCGCTCCTTAAACTAAGAGAACAGGTCATTTCGACCTTGACCTCTCGTTCGTGCATCCTATACGTTGGTAACCCGTGGGAGAGACTAGCAAGTTCCCTTTTTAGTTAAGTTATATTACAAACCTAGTTGTAATATACTTCTAGACATTTTTAGACCATAGTTCCCTTTAGCTAACCTCGACTTATTTTATTATAGAGACTTTACTGTTAGCTTATCCAATTCTCTTGCTGGTCTCCCTTACCACAAGACAGTGGCTTCTCACTAAATTCGAGGTGACACGGTTTGTAGGTCTCCTTAGAGGGGATGTGGTATTATGGTGCATGGAAGATTGATTGGTGACGGACGAGTTCTTATGGTGAATGAGTAAATTGTAATGTCTGAATGGGTCGTGAATCAAATTAGCTAGGTATAAGATAGTTAGGGAAGACCGGCCTTTTACCCACTCCCCCTTTTCGGCCTTGTGCCACAATTTTGTGTTTTTACAAAATAAATCTCGGTCTGTGACTGAAACGGTCGGATACGCGGCCAGGAACGTCGATCATCGGGCTGCGTATTAAGTTACGCTCCCCTTTTTTTTTGTCTTTCCTTCTCTCTCTCCTTCGCCTACTACTCCTGGCTCCTGTTCAACTCTCGGCATTCTATCCCTACCGGCTGCCTGCACGTCGTCCATAACGTTTCCTGTACACAACGTTTGTAATTAATACGGGAGGTTACTAATATCGGACTCGACCGGCAACACGCAACGCCTGCACTGGACCTTTGACATGCCCGAACAACACCAGCTCTTCTTTCCTTCCCAACACGTCAAGTTGGCACCCCGGCAACAACCAGCTTCAACAACAGCGATCATCCCGGCAACGACCAACTTCAACAACCAACAGCGATCATCTCGGCAAACGACCAACTTCAACAACGATCATCTGCAACGACCAGCAGCAACTACCTGCATGACCAGCAGCGATCATCTCTGCAGCGACCACCTGCATGACCAACAGCGATCACCTGTAACGACCAACCTCGACCATCAATGCCTGCACTAGAACTTCTGCACCTCTACCGTTCCGACCACTTTATTTTCTTTTCTATTTTTTCTTATTTTTCTTTCTCGTACAAGTTTTGCCACCTTCAGTGGTCGACGAAGTAGCCGACATTTTAGAACATGTACCCGAGTAGGAGCCACATACTCGGCGTAAGGATGCGATTTTAAAACGAACCGGCCGTTCGGACGAGGATCTGCTCCGGGAACATTTCACCCACGTCACCAGAGGCGACAGAACACCCTAACAGCTCCTACGCTTCATGAGGAGCCGACTAGGAAAACATTCAATGGCCGAATACAGTCGGAAAGCTAAACAGCCGGCGGGTAGGGACGGCAGAACCCCCCCCGGCAAAAACATACGAAGCCGCCTTTTCTACGGATGGGACCGACGGAACCACATAAAGTTTTTAGTGGACACAGGAGCAGCAATCAGCGTGATACCCCCCAAAGAACAGCAAGACCGAAAGGCGACCACTTATAAGCTCCAGGCAGCAAACGGCTAACCCCTACATCTCGTACCTAAACCGGGAAGCACAGACTTTAGGGTATGCGTCGATTACAGAAGATTGAACGCCACAACCATACCCGATCGCTATCCAGTCCCGCACATACACGATTTCGCCACAGGGTTGCAGGGCACTCGCGTCTTTTCAAAAATAGACCTAACTAAGGCTTACCACCAGATCCCCATAGCTCCGGAGGACATCCCAAAGACCGCTGTAACCACTCCCTTTGGTCTCTTCGAATACCTCAAGATGCCCTTTGGCCTGAGGAACGCAGCACAAACGTTTCAACGCTTCATAGATGAGGTAACGCAACAATTCAACTGATGATAGCAGGTAGGAACAAAGAAACCGGTGTCGCTCGTCCAACCTTCTCACGAGCCGCGGACCGACCACGATTTGCATGCGAATGACGAGACAACGAGATTTCGCGTTAACTAACCGAGACCGCCCGGCATAAAATATATGCGCCGCCATTTTGGTTTCTTTTGCCGTTGGGAGGACCGGAGTTTGCACACTGCACAGATTCGAACGCGTTTCCGAGGTAAGCCATTTTCACAATTTTCCCCACACTCCCCCCTGATCTCATGATCACAAACAGGGCAAGGCGGTGTTGCTATCGTCGCCGTCGAGTCCCCCTCCGAAGGGGGATAACACAAGCTTCATCCTCATGCGTGTTCTCGTCTGTGGTTTGAGTGTCGGTAAACACTGTGTCCGTCGGGAGGCTGCTGTTATCAGAATCACTGCCCTGCAGGTCTAACTCAAGGCAGATTGAACGCTCACTACTCTCAGACTCGGAATCGCTTTCATCGCTCAGTAACGGTAGTAATTGCATCACCGGTCGCAAGTCTTTAATGTGACGAGTCACCCCATCAACTCTCACAGATTGCGGGCTGATCACCTCCGTAACACGTCCAGTGCCGTATTTTGTCGTACACTTGCCGCGTGGGTTTTTGACCCAAACAATGTCTCCTTTTTCAATCTCCTCCAGTCACTTCTAGTTCAGGCAGCGGGTTGGCTTCGATGCCTTTCACACGGACATGATATTTGTGCAGTGCATCAGCCGGCGCCGTGGATGGTGAAACGTTATCTTTCAGGGCGACATTATACCAGTAAACCGTCTCGATACTGTACAGCCCTTCCTGGCTGCGATGGTCTGATGGTTCTGTGGTTCCGCTCCACGATGCCGTTTCCACTTGGCGAGTAAGCACATCGAAACCGCAGATGCGTCCCAATTGTCCGCAAATTCTTTAAAAGTCTTTACTGGTGAATGCAGTATCGTTGTCCGTCAGTATTTCCACGGGTGGGCCTCGCTCCAGGAAAACATTCTCCAACAGTCGAATGACGGTGCTCGCGTCTTGTCTGCGCAGCGGCCGCCATACCGCAAACCTGGAGGGACCGCAATCAATAAGCGTTAAAAAATTCTCACCATTTTAGTGAGTTATGTCCATCGCCAGTCTGCTCCAGTTGCTCTTCACGCTCAGTTCTCCTTTTTCCCAGTGAACGGGTGCCGGATCGATCGACTGACAGGTTGTGCAGGCCTTCACAACGGATTTAACGCTTTCTCTGGACACCTGCGGGTCGACTAACCTGGCGAAGTACAGAGTTCGTTTCATGTCCGGATGTCCGCATTGACGATGGGTATTGGCAACCTGGTCCTCGTCCAGTCGTCTCCCTACCACTGCACAGCTCTCGAGTGCCGGTTCTCCTCTCTTGAGCAGTTCTGGCCACCTGTGCGGTACTCTGGGGAGGCGATCCGCACGGTTCTGACAGGACTGTACGAGTGTCACGTCTATGGTCAATCCATATTCTTTCACCAGCGATCGCAAAATGCCCAGCCGTCGCCTAACCAGCATCTCGCCAGCCGCCCTTGTATTCACCCGTGCCTTCCCGGTCAAGGTGTCTGAAATCCACCGGTGCACACCCGCCGAATCAGTAACC